GATGCTAGCCAATGAAGTACATTAAAAAAATAACCCTCTAAAATCAAACTATCTCAGTTATGCTAACAATGCACATCTATTTGAACCTGTTGTGCACCACAATGTTTAATGTAATGACAGTGACATATTACATTTGTTTACAGCACCTCAGCACCCACTAAGTACAAGAAATAGGAGGAAATCTACATTTGATAATGGTGATGTAGTTCACTTGTCAGTTTCTGTTTTTCATATACATATATATCATATTTATATAGTTTGAAAACTACTACAAGTTTTGTAATCTTATCTTCTGATATCTTCAGTGGGTAAACAACAACAACAAAAAAAAACTTTATCTCCAAGCATAAAAAATGTTGTAAAGAGATTGCTATCTCTAATGTAAGAGTTGTATTAAAAAACTGGTTAATTAACTAGCCATTAACCAGTTGCCATATTCATTTTTAAATTACCGAAAATTTTATTTGGTGAGATTTCACATTAACATCTAATTTTGTTTCTTCATGTAGAGATAAAAAAAATTTTTTATAGTTACACATAACTTGGGCTTAGCCTGCAAAAAACAGGTATAATTAGTTATATTATCACAAAGTGTCAATTTGATGTCATACAGCTGTTTTTACTACATTACATTATTGGGTAGACAAAATACTTTGGTGACCAACACGCACACACACACACACATATATATATATATATATATATATATAGACAGCTTCAATAAATGTTATCTTATAGACAACAGAATCTACATTAGGTGTAAGTTAATGACAAATCGATGGAACTGATCTTTTGCAAGTTAATGACTACTGGAGGGAACTAATCTATTGTTGTGCATTAATGACCCTGAATGATTTTCTATTGTTTTTGTTGTCTAATTTCTCTGGTCTTCACTGCTAATGCTCAAAAGTTTTGCTAACTTAGGATCTTCTGCGCAGCCACTTAAAAATTCTTGTAATGATAAATGGTTGTCCAGATTAGTGTCCATCTTTTTAAAAGTCATCTCTGTTCTTTCCTGGGGAGTATCTAATTCCAGATCTTCTACACATGGACCTAGCATGTCATACATTGCCTATTCAAAGTGAAAAATTGTAAAGCATATTATCATCAAATATACTTTTATACTTAAAAACAAATTTATTCAAATTTTGATGACAAATCTTTCCTGCCTAGCATTAAAGCTTTGAGAGTAATGATTTAACACTAACTTAAAATAATTAAAAAAACTACAAGTCACCAAACAAATAACAAGTTGCTTAGCACAGTTCATTTGATGAACAATTTTCTTACAACATTTTTAAAACATAGTAAAAATATTTTCTAAATAGACTGCAAATTAGCTTCTGCTACATGAAAAAATTACCACAGCTATCCTTATATATTAACTGGACCTTGGAAAGTTCTTCATTGGTTCCCATGTGCTCA